TAATTAACACACAAACAAATTAAATTAAAAATTAATCTTCTTTTATTTCTTTTACTTTATATAGCAAATTTTTCTTAAATATATTTATAAAGATTACTTAAATAAATAATTAAAAATATTGAAAAATTAGATATGATATAGACTATAATATTGTTTTTTTATTTAATAAACTAATATTTTTTATTTTATTTTGCTGCTTGATTTAATTTAATGTCGATTCGATTTGGATTCTAACATGAGATTGAAAGAATTATTTTTAATATAGTAATTATTTATACACAAAAATTACAACTAACGTGAATTACTTACGATACGATGCAATTCCGAATATTCGACCAAATTGCGGATGATGAATCGAATAAGGAAGATAAGAAGGAGGGTTTTGTTTCAATCCGGAAAATGTTACATCCAGGCATACAATTCTCAAATCTTCGCGGTCAGCGATACATACTTGTTCATTTGGCAAAATCGTCAAAGCGTGTGGGACTCTCAAAGTAATCCAATCTAAAATCGCAAATACGTTAACTTTATTTAAATATGTAATAAATATGTGTATTGAAAGTAGTTTTTATCAGAAAAAAGAATTTTTAAGAATTTCCTCCTAAGGATATCTCTATTTAAGGATTATTAGTACAAACAAAAATTTAAAACAGATTATATGTATTATTAACATTACTATTGATAATATTAAACGTACTTTCACCGATAGTATATTTAGGATTGCCCCTTTTGTCAAACAGTACTATTCTATTGTTGCAATATCCGTCAGCGATAACAATGTCGCCACTCGGTAAAACCGCGACTGACGTTGGCTGGCAGAAATGATTTATATCGCTTCCAGGCTCAAATCTTTGGCCGAAGTCGAGTACTATAATTTTATGCAGATAGTCTCTAATATGTTTTTAACAGTAATAACAATAAGATTAGAAAGAGATCGGAGTACATCACTTAAGTATGTGAAGACGCCACTTGATGGTCAAAGTCAGATGTTAAACTATATATACATATGTATTCTTTAATTAAATGAATTCATCTCAGAAATATGATTGCGCAGTGCCTTTATTATCGGACATTTCAACACAATCTATTTGAAATATTAATAATCCCCTCAATTTAGTGTATTTATATACATATATAAAATAGAGAGCGCCTTGTGACGCAAAGTCACATTTGAAATTAATTAAATTCATGAACTTAGAATATTATTCGAAACTTTCAACTTTGACCGATTCTTAAGGCGCTTTCTACTATATTATGTTGTTACATAACTTATGTTGTTAACTCGGTTTTTATTTCTTAGTTATATACATGTTAAAACCTGTAAAGAATTTATTGCGAAAGATATTATCTTGATCGGGAATCGAAACCGGATCTCTAGCATGTCGTGTGAACGTCCTAATTAAGCTTTATATCACCAAGGCACTAATATTTCGGATGGATATAGTGTTGAAAGTCTGATAGTAACAGCGCGCAATCATATTTCTGAGATAAATTCATTTAAAGAATATATATACATTAGTTTAATATCTAGTTTTGACCATCGAGAGTGGCGCTTCTAATAACTATAATAAAAGATCAGTTATAGCATGTTGTAATAATTTATTGCTGTATATAAATAACGAATTCTTATTAAGTTTTCAATTATTTTACTTAATGCAATTTTGATATGTGTAGGAGAGACCGGAATCAGTTAACTATAGGGATAGAATAATCGAGGTTATATTAAAAACAAAACGCGAGACGCGTAAACATGTCTGAGCACAGCGACTGCCGCTAAATCTGCTATAACATCTTATTGCGAACATCTATAATAGGAGTTATGCCACAATTTAAAAAAAATCGTATACATTAGAAAAATGCATTTTTTTCATATTAGTTATCAGTTTCCTCTTATTATTAAAATATTATTAGGCAGTCAAATGTATGTAATAATTGGTATAGAATTCATTTTTTCAATAGGTCTGTTAATTTCGTCTGAAAAAATTCGAAATTAAAAAATGAATCTATTAGCCCCCGGTCTCCCCTATATTCATTATTTATATATAATCAGGGGGTTAGAAAGTTAAAGTCTGAGCACAAGATTTGTCATAAGATTTACTTATTGTTAGATGTAATTAACGTACAAACTTTGGCGTATGATGTACTTGTTGCCGTATCAACAATTCATGAATCAAACTTCAAGAAACTCTTAGAAGAGATTCTTAAAAAATTTTTAGACAATAATTTTAGACATTCTGCTCATTGAGTAACTTAAAAAAATTGCGAAAATTTCAAAATGTTAGAAAACTTTTTGGTGCAATAATTTAGTTCGCTTTACCATGAATGTATTAAAAAAAAACGTTTGTATCATTTGTATAATAATGAACTATAAATATTAGATTTCAGTATCTATGACAATTTTCGTATATTCAAGATATGAAAAAAAAATACATGATAATTATGTCATAAAGAAATTCAAAGTATAAAAAGTAACGATAAAAATAATTATTAAATTTGCTACTGTTATTGAACAAGTATGACTATGTTAGTGTTACAACAAATAACATCATTAACAGTATGTTACAAAAAAAGTAACGGTAACAGTGTTATAAGTATCTAACTTAATAGTTACTTCTCAACTTTCATAATTATTAACAGTAAAAACATATTTATGATCTAAGACAATGTTTCATAATTATAACACAACGATTCATTTATTTGACAAGATTTAGGATTCCTTTTTTTTTATTATTTATTAATTATAATAGAAGCTATTTGTGTTTTATTTTTAATGTGAATTTTTTTACATACCTTGAATACTTGATGAAGAGCAATATCAGTCAACCATATATTTCCAAAGGGATCGACGTGAATTCCGTGCGGTAAATAAAACGTTTGATTTCCCCAACCACAAATAATATTACCAATTTTAGAATCCACCTTTAATACTGTGTTTTCACGAATGGGACCTCTGTATTTCTCTTGGTATTCTGCATTTTCATCGAAAGTACTAAAATTTCGTCAAATGTATTAGCTGTGTTCAGCAGAAAAAGCAGCTTTTCAACTATTGTAAAATTTTTTAATACGATTAGTTCTTGGTTTTGATTCCTTATGGATCTAAATGTATAAAAATCATATTAAAGAATTTTACAATTAACAGTTGTAAAATTGCTTTCTCTGTTGAACGCAGTAATTATTAACATGATGAGACTATTTTCGATTAGAAAAATTGTTTTTATATACATTTAAATTACATTAAAAGTTAAAGAAATACAAATAAAATAAAATAAATAATTAAAAATAAGAAATTAATCACACACTTGTACGCAATTAGATTTTTCAGAAAAAGAAAGTTATATATTGAATATTAAAATAAATTGAAATAAAACCATCTTCAAAGTTATTATTATATTTTTTAAATATAAAAACTATAAATATAGAAAGTATTGCAGAGTACTTAAATGCTTTCAGCAATCGTTGCTTTTTTGTAACGAATATGAAATTTAATTTTTATGTCTTCGATTTGCATTCATTAATTTATTAATGACTTACTCGTAATTCCATGTTCGATCTCCGCGATGAAAAATTACGAGATTTCCCGTCGGTTCCACAGCGACTCCAGAAACCTCACCAAGATTTTCGGGACTTCGCCAGAAACGATTTTCGATGGGATGCAGTGGCGTGTTATAGGATTCCGAAAACTGATCCTGCATAATAAAGATAACAAGAAAGTCATAAACATATGATTATTACAGACCAGGATTATTGTTATTACAATATTGTTAAAATATGATTTTGGGGCCATATTAGAGATATATAATGCTTCAATAAATACTTGAATGTTACTCTATTTACTTTAAAACGGATGCTTTATCTACCGTTATTTTATAACGGAAATTAATACGGATGCGTATTAGTAAAAACTTAAGTAAAAAGAGGAATGTGCTTATTAATTTATTAAGTTTTTACACGCGTAAATATTATTATAAAATATTACGACGTAACAATTTATTAAGATGTAATATATTAAGTATGAATTATAGTTACATACGTGAGAAAATTGGTCAGGAGCGTCAAATTTATTGAAATTACTTCCATCGTTGATATTGGATGTAACACCTCTAAATATCACTACTGCGCATATCAAGAGAACTCGAAAGAATTGGTTTCCTCTACTCGCCATTGTCTCTCTGCTCTTCCATAAATCTCGCAGCTGACGAGGTCCAAACCGAGGTGTCGAATCGATAATACGCGCAAGCGCTCGTCGAATTTAAATTGTTACACTTCGGAAATATACAATAGCTCTAGAGAAATTAATGCAACAAGTACATGAGAAGTAATAAAGGGAATTGATTGCCTGACATAATACGAACAAAAGGATTCAACAAGTTCGATGAAAAATTCGATTAAACAAAAAGAGAAAAAGAAGATATAAAAAAAAATTATTTTGTTATAATTGAACTATAGATCGAAATAAAGTATTTCTATAAATTATTTATATATTAGAACAATAGTGATTATAACACAATCATTAGAAATTAACAGCGCAACGTAACAGAGACATCAATATATACGAGAACACAATAAAAAGTAGAGTGGGAAATTATTTAAATTATTGCGATCAAAACGTCAATGATAAACTTAATATTTGCTATTTTTCATCGTTATTTTTTAATATAACTGACATAGATTTGCTATAACTTTTTAAAATTGTTTATTAGAAATTCATTGTTTATTCAGCAGTAACGATTACCTCACTTTAACTTGGATGAAAATGCTAGAAATAAAGGAAATAGATGGCTGTGATTTTGTCGATACACAGAAAATAACAAATTGGATACCGATGGTCGGTGAGAAATGATGAGCTGTTATGTCAGATATCGTTTAAAATCAACTGCATCTGCTCCAGGAAGAATTCGCCGGTACAATCAGACAGGTGGGCGTCGATCGATATTCGCGCGCAGGTGTCCTAGTACTGTTCCAGGAAAGTGAGTAGGGATGATCGTATCCTGGAGACCATTGACGTCAGAGTTTTTATGTGTTCGCAGGGTAATCAATAACTTTCTGTAACATTTTCAGCAAAACACAAAATAACAATCATACAACGTCACGTTAGGATAGGTCCACAATCTTGCTTTAAGAGGCCTTAAGTCATAAGTCGAAAGAGATTAAGCAACAATAATTTCTGTTTTTAAACTATTTTTGCGCAGTCTTTAGGCTTTAATCATTAGACTTACTTAAACAAATTGAGCAAAACCCAATTCTTACGGCCTAAAAGCATAAGTTTTGTGGCCGATATATCATTGTCATTTACAAAAACTTACATCTTATAGCTTACGACCTCTTAAAGCAAGATTGTGGGATTTATCCTTACTGCTCAAAAGATTCAGCATACTTTTGCTAACAATTCCATTTTTTATATATAAAATACAGAATTATGATATATATTTTTTTATTTTTAATCACGGAATAATTAATGGTGAATTGCAGAAGAATAATTATAAACGAACATTACAAGTAAATTTTTTAAATAGACAAATATCACGTATGTCGATTGAAAGAAACGTCAATTTAAAATTTTGCGTTAAACACTAATAAACATTTAAGGAAATGGTATGTAAACAATATTCTTGCAAAAATTAAGCATAAAATTATTTACAAATCTTTGATTAAAACACTTGAAAAATTTATCAAGAGATAGAATACCAAGAGTTTATGGTTCTTAGTCAAGTCTAGAGATATTAGGCTGTGATAAGTAGAAAATCTAAAAACAAATAATTTTTTCTCATAAATTTATTTTAGTGAAAACATATGTATTCTTTATATTACGAAATTTCTATAAACGGAGCTGAAACTTTTGACCAATAGCGTATAATAATTATAATTATAAAATATAATTTGCATAGCAATTATACAGTTATATGTATAAACATTATGTTCTGTTCGCTATATTTGATTTAAATGAGAGGATCTTTTGCCTATAGCTGTCTACATATCATTTGCTTACAGATTGATTGCTTATATGTATTATTGAAAAGGTTCCGATAACGCATATTGCTAATTGGCTAATTTAAAATAAAATATTCTCATTAGTGAAAAGTTACTAGTGGTTATTAGATACCGACCGATATGAATGAATGTGTGTTATCGCACTAATGGGACCCTCCTGTATTATTAAAGAGTTTTTGCAATAACGTAAATCCAAATGTGTATCGGTGAACGCTAAAGTTACGTTATACTTTTCTTAAGTAATTGTTAAGAAGAAGATAACCTGACTTTAGCGTTCACCGATATTGCAAAAATTTCCTATTGCAGTTTCCTCCTACTGTTCGATTGCCTTATACGTGCGCACAAATATAAAATTGAAATTAAATTACGTAAACAAAATAATTTGTGTTTTTGAAGCAGAGAATTTGTATTTTTTTTTTTAAAGCAGCGAATTTGTTTTGAAATCGAGAATGTATGTTTTTAAAGTAGAGAATAATATTACTTATAGGCAATCGAGCTGTAGGCAATAATACATGTAAATAAATTACATGTAAACAAACGAGATGTAGGCAAACGATGCTATCGATTTATAGGGAAACGAAATCCTCCCGGTTCGGACTCGCGCAAATGCATAGAGCAAAATGGTGTCGTATTAATAGGAGATTAGCTAAGTAATCTAATTAAAAATAGTCTTTTTAATTCAATAACAATGAAACAAATGTCATGTTCTTGTTTTAATAAAATATTATTTATTTCATTACTGTTATTGAATTAACAACATCATTTTTTATTAGACTTTTGCTATTAATATATCTTTTTTCTATTAGGAGACACGATTATATCAGCGGAACGCTAAGCAGGCACGATGTACACATATATATATATATATATATATATATATATATATATCGCGCAAGATGTACATAATACTGTATTAATATATGATAAGCTTAAATTAAGATCAAATTACTTGCGGTAATTAATTTTAATATTATTTCGATAATGATAAGATATAGGTTTAATGTATCCTCGAATTTAAACATGTTTTTTTTATAAATTATATAAATGAAGGAATATTAAATGATTATACATTACAAAATCCATTATAAAATATAAAAGTAAAATTAGCAGTTAATAATAATTTTAATATCAAAATAATACATCAAAGAATTACATGTAGAAACATGTAACTCTATGTAGAAATTCAATTTAATATTGAAAAGTAGTTTAGTTTACTTATTTTGAGTATTAAAAATACTGAGAATAACAGTACTGAATAAATAAGTAATATATAATTACTATCTTTTAGGATTAATCTTCTGTAAAGGAAGACGAATCTCATATCTATGGGACAAGTGAGTAAATTATTCACAAATTATTTTGTCAGAGTTTTATTAATAGCAATCACATAATGAGTTTATTATATATAGTATGACAATCATAAATTCTTGGCAGCGTAAATTTGTGAATGTTCTAATACAAATTACATTGCTCTTCTAAATCCAAATGTCTTTTGAATGTCATTCTTGAAACATTCTCGTCTTTTTTCTAGATAAAATCTATTAATAGGAAATTACCTTTAAAACAGTTGTGCCATATCTTATAACTGATGAATAAATCTGCAAAATTCTAACGAACGCCAATTTTGATTTTGAACAGATGTTTGATTTTTAATATTTCCATCGTATATTGCTATCCCTGTATAAAATCGTACATTAATATTAGTCGAAAATAATTCTGTGTAATTGTATAATAGAAAATTAGCGATTTGATATTTCTTATTGTTTCCAGCTTAATTAATAGATGATAAATATAATTAAAATAAATTAATTAGAGAATTATTATTAAAGAACTGGCGAATAATTGTTAACAGTAAGAAAATGCGGTAAAACTATTAACAAAAAAAGATTATATTTCTGCACTTACTTTATTTCATGAACTTTGCCATGCGAAATGGATTCTATCGATTTTTTTTAATTCACCTGTCTTTCTTCGCGGGACTGGTACTCCATAGCATCGTTTACTTATCGATTTCGAGACTTAATGACGTTTCGGGTTGGGTCCATATGTAGCCTGTGCGTGTCATACTACAGTGTGCGTCATAATATCTTCCTGGTGAACGACAATAGGACCATTTTGGGCAGCGACACCGAAACTTACTGTGAAATTCTTCCTTGCACACTTCGTTCCACCAGCAAGTCCTCTGAGAGACATCAGAGAATTCATTGTTTCAAAAATTTAAGAATAAATCTATCATTTTAGTTTTTTTTATCGAATAATACAATATTTGTGCGTTAGAATATAAAATATTTCAAATAAGTAAAGAAATCATATCAAAAAAGATATTTAAAAATTCACATAGAAATATTATTAGGCATCAAGACTTTAACTGTATATGACTCCTTACTTATTTGATTTATTTGAATAGCAGTATAATTTAACTTAATTATTATTGTATTGTATTAAATACTTATAATTATCTACCTCGGCTAGGTAGCCTCTTACACTTTGGTCACTGTAATTTCTCTTGATAATTACATGTCTGGCATTCGCTGAATATACTCTCGTACATAATGCGAGTATCAATAAAAAACATAACATAATTCTATCCTGAAAAAGAATAACACATAATTTATGTTATATGAAATATATATAAAGTTAAACAGTTGAAATATATATAAAGTTAACATGTAAAAAGTTAACATTTCTTATTTTGAAAACAAGATATTAAATCTTCATTAATTTCTGCCAAAATTTATTGATTCTTTTAGAGATTTAATTTATATTTTCTCTCATTATTTTCGAATTTGCTGAAATTTGCCAATTTTTACAGATACATAAATCTTTCCATTCCTTAATTAACCATCCCTTACAGTGATTTGAACTTGCAATATTTCTTTAATGAAAAAAATCTTCATAATATTTTATACTATTTTTAAGAATTTTTTGTATTTATAATTTATGAAGATTTTGAAAAAGTTTTAAATTTCTTTAGATTTTATAAGTTTCTTTAGAAATGTACGAATCAAAAATCTTAGAAATATTCCAAAATTCATATGCAAAGTATTTTGGAAAAGATATAAGTGAACTTTCTCAGCACTTTTGAAGTGTTCCAATGGGTATCAAAAATCAAAGAAGTTTTCTAAAAAAGGATTTCTGAAAAATTCTAAAATTCATATGGAAATTATGAAAAATTATATAAATAATTTAAGAAAAATGTCCTCTAAGGGTGTTGCTGCATTGTAAATGTCGAGAGAATTCGATGATAATATATTTTTGCACGCACTCACATTTTCTCTCATAACTGTCTCGTCTCTCGCGATAATTATATTCTCGATTCTAGATTACATGCAAAAAAATGCAAAGAGAGTGGCGAGCCTACGCGAGCTGCATTTGCCCGTCGCGATGTTACTCGCGAGGCATTATTCCTATGCGATGCAGTTCCTGAGAGAAGGAGCAAATGACATTGAGCATGCGTACGTTCGTCCAGAATTCACTGATACAAGGATAGCTTAGTCTCTCTCTCTCTCCCCTTCCTCCCTCCCACCCTTTCTCTTTCTTTCATTCCGTATAGCGATCGATCGAGCTCTTACGATGCACGGATGCTATTCCTTGGTGAAAAGTCAAATTAATTTGTACTTAAGAGGATGCTGGACTGCCGACGAAATTATCAGCATTACAATCGTACAAAGATCTCCAAATTAACTAAACGAAATGGAAAATCCTTTTACATGATCAAAATAAACGCAAAATTAAGCAGTGGTTAAGTGGACTTTATACTAAAATCGAAAAAAGTTAAAAACTTTTACCTAACTTTTTAATACATATATTATACATATATAACATAAAATAATATACACATATATTATCATATAGTGATGAAAATAGAGACATGTATATAAAACTTTATAAAATAGTTATTTTGTCCATCTATCTTTACTTGCTGATTATTTTATTATTATTTTTATATACAAGTAATAATAATAGTCACAAAAGATTAAATCTAATAATATGTATAATGTTAGTATTAAAGTTTCGATTATATCACACATTAATATCTTGGCTCATATTGGCATTATATATATCATTATTTTTACATATTTTTGTATTACACGGTTTTTAGAGCACTACAATATTAATAGTCTGATCTTAGTACGGCGTTTGAATCTCGCGCAACATTTGGGGGCGAAATTTGATTGGCTGCTCCAATATTCATCTCATGCGCAATGGTCACACCGTCCTCTTACATTAGATTGCAATATGCATTGAAGAATGAGATTGAAGATTGAAAGATTGAAATTTGACATCAGAATAAAACGAGCCAAAATTTCTTTGTCCTCATTGGTGAAATTTCAATCTTTAATCTTTAATCTCAATCTCCAAAGTCTGCATAGTCTGATTCCGGCCTTATGATACCTTTTGGTATCGAGCATCATGAAAAGGCACTTTTATATTTGACAGTTTGACATTTGTTCTGTCTTTTGGCTATAAGTATGGACTGCATATCCTATGTAGCAAGAAGTGTTCTCAAGTGTAAGGGTCAGTTTCACCAACATCAGTTAGCTTAATCGACCGTTGACTGATCAATCGCGTTTGCTGTTTAGTAGAATCGATCAATTACGGTTGACAGTTAATCACGATTAAGTTTGATCAGCGTTGGTGAAACCGGCCTTAACGGTTTTTAGTTAATCATAATTCACGCAAAATTCATATCAGCTGTCTTATCAAAATTGTATCCTTACTCTCTAAATTCTTTCAAATGAAATCTTACTCCGAAAGAATGAAAATTTTATATAGAAATGTTGATTCTTTTATATAGCTTTTTTTAATAAAAGCTCGCGGTATGCACAGACTATACCTTACTTGTAGTTCTTGGTTAATGACATGGTGTCGCCACTGTTCGACAACCAGTGTGAAATTTGCTACTGGCGATCCATACGCTCCTCTTATATAGTCAAAGGTTCTGTCCGATCAGCTGTTTCGCATTTATTTGTCATTTATCGTATTTTTGCGAACGGAATAATGGCATCTTGTGCGTTACTGCAACAATGTGCAAGTGGAATTAGTAGGAGTAGTTTTAGGTATCTCGCTTTATTATTATAATTTTTTGAACAAGTGATAGAAGTAAACATAACCTCTAAAATTTATATAACAAATCTATTAAATCTGCGTTAAATTGTTATCATTATTAAATATATAGTTTTAATGCAAAAATTTAAGTTGTTATTTATTACGATTTCTTGTTATGTAATGTAAAAAAGTAAATTGCAATTTTATATGGAGTTGGAGAACCAATACCAGCCTACCTCTAAATTGTTACAATGTTGCTATATTTTACTTTTGCATTAGAATTAAAATATAATTACTAGAAGCGTAATATTAGTTTGTAAGCTATTATTTAACAGAGCTTATGATTTACAAATTCTAAAGAAGTTCTGTATGTAGATTGAGTAGGTTATTTTCAAGTAAAGGCACAGACATACAAAAGAAACTCGATATAGCGGAGCGCAAGAATGTCCAAGAAATTATACAGTCGCCAGAGGAGGCCAAATATCTGCAAGCTTTAAAAAGTACAATTACCGTAACATCTGATGAGGATGTTGGTTATGTATCTGGTGTTCCTGAAGAGCATATCAAAACACGTAAAGTACGGATATATCAACCTGCCAAGAGCGCTATGCAATCTGGAACGAATAACATTCACTTTTGGCAAATGGACTTTGATACACGCGAACGCTGGGAGAATCCATTGATGGGTTGGACTTCTAGGTAAACATTAATGTTTATATTAATGTTTTATGTACATAAAATGATAATATCCTTAAGTAAATTTAAAAGATTTTGAAAAGTGATTCTTTACATTAATTCAAGATGAAAACTGTATTTGAAATAATTTTAAAGATATCCGCTTATTCGCCTCTATTTGAATAAAAAATTAATGTATGTGTATGGCCCTAATAGATGTAAACGTACATAAGAAACGTACATAAAACGTACATAAAGTTTCATCAAAATAATCAGAATAATTTCCAAAATTTTTGAAAACATTCTTTTCTTTAACTTTGACATCTTTACATCTAACAATAAGTCATTTTGGATATATGACCATATGAAGTTTTACTTTAAATTAATGTGGCAAATTATTCTTTAAAATTTTTAGAATGCTTTAAGAGCCATTCTTTTATAGCCATTCTTTTATATCAAGTTATGCAAATCAGGATATATATATGAATTATTTATAATAGTTCTGATATATTGTATTAAGTATGGCGATGCATAATGTATATAATAGTAATATTTATACTTTTGATGCAGTGGAGATCCTATGTCAAATATAAAAGTTGATTTCGCGACAAAGGAGGAAGCAATTGCACATTGCAAGAAGATGGGATGGGAGTACTATGTGCAAAAGCCGAATGTTAGTCAGCCGAAACCTCGTAGTTATGGTAGCAATTTCTCTTGGAATAAACGTACTAGAGTTTCAACTAAATAATCTACTTATTTAAGCTGTCGTAATTTCATGCAATAGCAACAAGTCGCTAATTGTAGTCATCCAAAAAAATTTTGGAACAAATATGTATCATGATATATATATATATATATATATATGTTTAGCGTAATGTATTTCAGTTTAAATTTGATATGTATCTTTTTTGCCTATTCTTTACTGCTTGAATTGAATAAACATTAAATAAATTTATTGACACTTTGGCATGTATGTTATTTGTTCTAATTATCTTAATGTAACATGGTTATTTTTGATTTTATATGATTATTTAAGTTTGAGGAAGATTATGGGTGAAAACAGTGACATATGCTCCAGCGAAGACAACAACAGTCTGATAACATTTTAACATTTCTAATTATATTTCGTTTGTGTTATTTATAATTATATACTACAATATTATTAACAACGTTCTGCATTGACAAGTTTGCGCGCCTTCGTGTTAGGCGGAGCGAAATGAGAAGTTATCATACAATATGCATTTGAATTCATTATTCAATTCATTATTCATATTCAAAATTATCGAAGATTATGTTAGAACATCTTGATGTATCGCATAAAAAATGCGAATCTCCCTTCGAGCTCATCGTATCGATACATCCTATTTTGCATTCTCGCTATGGTCAACTAAGTTCTCCTCTGTCTAAAGGATATATGCAATTATTACTGTCCTTTCCAGCCAATTGTACTACATATAAAATTAGAGAAAAAAAGACTCAGATGTTTACATCTTGTTATAGCATCTAATATAACGTCTCATATATTATCACCAATGTTGAAAAAAAATGGCGATATATTTTTAATGTATATTATGTTAACGAATGAGATAATATAATTTCTCTTATTTAAAACTTTATAAACTTTCATTTAAAAAAGATTATATTTATAAAAAAATTTTTTAGAATTTCCTTATTATCAATGACAAATGATGAGTCGGTTTATATTGAAACAATCGTCGTGATCTGAAAAGGAACAGGAAATTGCTATTAGAAATTAGTTGACCGAGGTCGTTGCTGCAAACAGATCCTTAATTATTTATAATTAAGACATAAAGTGAAGGAAAGAACGTGCGCAATCGTATCTCATGAGAGCAGAATATAAGAAATGGCCTACATTGTTATTATCGCAGAAAGTATAGCAATAAGAAAATTGTAAGGACAAAAACAAGTTGTCGTTGAAGATTGCGGAGAAAATCCTCAAGAGAGGCTTAATATATCGTTAAATCGTGTAAAACATTTTACGGTATCTACTAATCTCTCCCAAGTACTTCGTCCTGCGAAAGACAGAATAAATTAGAGGAAATATTATCACTGAAATTCATTCGGAATAATTAAATTTTAAATCGCTAATTTAGAAACTGTTCTTGCATTGACAAGTTGCAGCTGAATTTTCTTTAATTTATCCCGTTTACTTTACAGTGAAGATTGTCTCCCTTTATCCCTTTAAAAGATATTTTGGTTGTATTTCGCAGAAGTCAGCGCTTAACAAACATTTTACGCGAATTATATTTTTAGATTTAGAGGAATAATCTTTATTTCAGCGAAGAAATCCAACATCAAGCTACAAAATAAATATTCTGCTGAACGCGACCAATGTTTTTATTACGGAACGATGATATTATTAAACTATAAAATATTTTATAAGCTCATGGGCTCAGTATTAAGTTCTCCTCGTGCGGATTTTCCTTTTTTATCACGTCTCTTGAAACAATTTTCATAATAAGTCTCTTTCATATATTGAGAAAAAAATTTACTTAAATTTTAATAAATATTTCTTTGAATAATCCTAGCAGAATATTTACTAAATGTAAACACATATTTATTAGATACAAAAACCATTAGTTTGATTCAATTTTTTTTTCATTTATCTAAATATTTATTTACCATAAGTAAATATTGCATTAGGACTTTAAAGAAATATTTATTAAAAATTAATAAATTTTTTCTCAGTATACAGAATAATTTTTGTTTATTGCTATGAATTAAAACAAATTGATGTTAATACTCTCGTTTTTCATTTAATTACAATCGTTAGATATAATTATTTTATAACTATGTATAAATAGCTACATATTATTTCTATCTTTTTTTGCGTTCCTTTCTAACAAAATATAATTCCGATTAAGGCGTCAGAAGTTAGTTCTCTCTTCTCATTATGTTAATTCTTTCTACTCATTATATGTTTTCAAATCTCAAGATTTATATAAAAATAAAAAAAAATATTAAATGAGTTTAACAAAAATATTACAAACAAAGTTTGAAGTTATTGTCCAAAAATATTATTACAAACAAATTTTGAAGTTAGTTATTCAGTAAACGAGAATGGATGAAATGAATTGAAATGGATTCAAATTTTCAGAAATACGCATTCGCCGAACGTTAAAATGAATCCTTTTCAATTCGAATGCATTTTTATTCATTTATATTTGAAATTGAATGAAAGACATTTCACCTCGTTTACTGAGCTAGTTATTAATTATTAGAAACTATTTGTTTTTATATGGAAAATCAAAAATCCAAGTTCATTCACATAAATTAAAGTCCTTTCTTTTAAAAATTTGCTTACTTTTCCGCAAAGATACATCTCTGAGACATCGTGGACCTACGATCGAGAACAATAGATTAACTTTTTAATAAGTGTACCTAATACAACGTCTCACATTTTGAAAGAACAACCATAATGTAAGAAGACTAGGTAAACCAATTTTAAGGAGGATAAACAGTCATTTAAAGTAACGACATTTGTGATCAATCAAAAATTGGTCAGAAATTTTATAATTAAACTAATATAAAGCCGCTATTAAAAATTTGTTACTAATTTGAAAGTTGCCTTAAATTAATCAGCTGTCATTATGTGCAACATTACACCTGGTCTTTTTACATTATGGAAGCAGCCGCGTCGTAATCACTTTTATTGAGCAGCTCTCTTCTCACTTCTTGCAGAGAGACCTTGCGCTTACGTCTCAATCAGATGCTTTAAAGACACTAATGGCTTATATGTATATTTGCCTTGTGCAATTATGTTAATTGAATATACAATTTATCTATATATATAAACTTGCGATAGAGAGATCCCTTGTCTCACGATTTTGGAGTTCGGTGACAGGTGAAGGTTTCCGATCTCAAGCAAGAAATAGAAAGAAAAATTGATATGAAAAAACATAAAGCAAAGCTTTCCCTGCGAATCTTTTTTCTGTTTTTTTCTTGCACACGAAATATAATCCTAAAAGTCCTTATTGTGATACAAACCGCTGTCTCACTTTATATGCATATGTATATACATGTATAGTAATTATTGTATGCAGTACATTTTACATTTACATACACATAAAATATATTATATATTAAGTTCGTTCGATAAGTATATTTCGTTCTTCAAAGGATTTTTGAAGAACGAAATTTATTAACTTAATTATAATAATTAATTCAATACATTTATTAATTTAATTTAATGCAAAATGTAATTACTATTTTGTTTTACTACTGTCTACCATCTTAAATTTAATTTTACAATTCTATTTCGATATGTTACAACATGTCTAATATAGAATTATAAGAAAACTAGAGATAAAAATTATTCACTTTTTTCGTCCTATTGTTTCTTTACAAAACCTGAGATAAAAAGTATTTGGGTATCTAATGTGAGACAAATAAATTGATCTACTTGGCAGTCTGTGACTTCCATTATTTATATATTCTGTAAGCGACGATCCAGCTAAAATATTTTTTACAAGATCTAATTATTTCATATAGCGCATTATATTTTTCCAGGAACTCTTTGGTTGTTCTTCTTGGGAGCAAAATAGAAAAAGGAAACTTAATTTCTTCTATTTAATAATCTCTCAAGTAATCACAACTATTTATGAACATCAATGAAAGATATCTAATAGTTGGATATTTGTACAATTGAAACAAATTGCCTTTTATTTTTCATATTTTTTAAATATATAATATATACATGTGTATATGTTATCAATATTCTTCTAATTTTGAAGATATCATAGATGCTAGAATTTCAACAAAATATGTACGTTATATGTTACAGATGAAAAGAAATAAATTGCATTTATCTATATATGACCATATATATGTATATTTAACTTAGCAATAATAGTCTTTTTAGTAATAAAAATTTATTGGATTATGTCAATAATTCCGTATGGTTTTTGTCGATAGACAGTTTTTATAAGCACTCTGAAAAGCTCTAAGCACCAGTCCATATTTTAGAAACGCATAATAATTGACAGGTGATTTTATTGTGCATTTAAAAAAGACAGCATGAAGATTGATTGTTTTGTATATTTTGAAAGGCGTCATTTGAAAGATGGCAAGGGTACGGTCAATGTAATGCTACAAATGTGTTGAAACATGGGTTGGTTAATTCATAAAATTTTTTCTTCTGATTGTCAATCAAATACTTCAAACTATTTATATAGTGATATTTTGATCGCATCCCAAAACGAACATTTTTTTAACATATGCTTCATTTAGGAACGATTGTTCCATCTTCGGATAAATTATATCATAATTCATTCAATGGATAAACAAAAGAGTAAAAGAGTAAAAGAACAAAGAGAATAAGAAAATAAAAGGGTGAGTTGAAGTTTATCAAGGTGGAATTTATGAAAGGTAGAACAACCTAGCTTTAAAAAAGCAAAAATGGGAAACCTATAAAAAATGTATCCGGTGTATGACGAAAATATCATGAAAGGACGCGTGTACCACAAGTAGTTTGCAAGATTTCGTTCCGGAGATCTTTCTGTTCAAGACACGTTACGTTCAATGCGTTATGGATGAAAAAAAAAAGGAAATTCTTTGAGCAAGGAATTATGTAATCCGAACTACGATACTGGATCACAACCGTCAATACATTCTTGATGAAAGTTATTGTCTTTTATAAAAAAAAAATTTCGTTTTTCATTTATGGGTGAAAAAAAACCTCAACGAATTATTGATCAAGCTAATATTAACATCATCTAATGGATGTGTTATTTTCTGATATTTGTATCATATATTCTTGCTTTTGACTTCTTTTATTATCACTTATATTACTATAAACAGTTGGATATTTTCTTCTATAAA